CTTTTAGAGGATTCTCCACACTGATTTCCAGAGTGGCTGCCCTCTATGAAATCTCACCAACAGTGAATGAGGGTTGCTCTTCCTCCAAATTGATGCCAGCTCTTGTTGGTTCTTTTGTTGATCTTTGCCACTCTTACAGGCAAGATGAAATGCCAAAATTATTTTAATAGCTAGAAATGATGAACATTTTCTGAGATATTTATTTGTCAATTTTTTTCTTTTGAGAACTCTCTGTTCCTGGTCCAGTTTTGGAATAGGTTGTTTCTTTTACTTTTTTTGTGCATGTTCTTGTGTGTATATGTATATGGTGTATGTGTGCGTGTGCTCTTCATATATTCTGGGTATTTGTTAGATGATTTTTTTCCTTAGTTGTATGGTAACTTTATTTTCATGAATTCCTTTATCTATTGTTGGCTATAATTCTTGGACAAATTGTGTCCTGTTCAGAAAGCCCTTTCCTACACCTGTGTCATGTAGGATGTTGCCTATCTTTTCTTCTAGCAGGTTTGGTGTTTCAGGTTTCAGCTTTCACAGTAAGTCTTTGATCCATTTGTAGTTTGATTTTTCTCCAGGTGATAGATTCAGGCCTAATTTCATTCTTCTGCATGTGGACGTCCAGTTTTCCTGGCACCATTTGTTGAAAATGTTTTCTTCATCTAATTTTTAGAATATTTGTTAAATATTAAATAGCAGGATTTATATGTACTCATATTTTGGTCTTCAGTTTTGTTCTATTGGTCTACATATCTGTTTTAGTACCAGTGTCATATTGTTTCTATCACCATGGCTCTGTAACATAGGGCATGAGATCTGGAATGGTAATTGCTCCACCATTCTTCTTTTTGTTCAAGATTGTTTGGCCATCCAGGGTCTTTTTGGTTCCATATGAATTTTAGGATAATTTTTTTCTATTTCTGTGAAGAACAAGATGGGGATTTTGATTGAGATTGCACAGAATCTATAAATAACTTCTGATAAGTGTTCATTTTTACATTATTATTTATACAAGTTTATGAGTATGGGCTGTGTTTTCATTGTCTTTCTGTCTCTTTCTTCAGAGGTTTGAAGCATTCATTGTAGAGAGCTTCACTTCCTTGTTTGGGTTTATTCCTAGATATTTTAATTTTGTTGAGGCTATTCTGAATAGGAGGGGAGTGTGCCCATGTCCTCTTTCTCTGAATATTTATTGTTTATATATATATAAAACCCTATTGGAGTGTACCCATGACCGTGTGTGTGTGTGTGTGTGTGTGTGTGTGTGTGTGTGTGTGTATCCTATTGATTAGTGAAAGTTCTACCACATTGTTGAATTTGTTTATCATTTCTTGAAGTATTCTGGTAGAATGTTTGGAATTTCTAAAGTATAATATGTCATCTGGAAATAGGGATAGCTTGATTTCTTTCTCTATTTGTAGACTCTCAGTTTTCTTCTTTTGCCTTATTGCTCCACCTAGTGTTTTAAGCACAACATTGAAAAGGAGTGGGGCTAGTGTACATCCTTGTCTTGTTTCTAACTTCTTTGTGACTGCTTCAAGCTTTTCCCCATTTAGGATAATGCCGGCCGTGGGTAGCTTTTATTGTATTGAGATATGTTCCTCTAGTCCTACACTCTCAAGGACTTTTATTATGAATGTGTGTTGGATTTTCTCAAAGGCTTCAAGCTTTCATGGAGATAGTCGTGTAGTTTTTTTCTTTCAGTCCACCTAAGTGGTGTATCACAGTTATCCAGGGATGAATTTCAGGGATAACGCCAACTTGGTAATAGTGGATAAACTTTTTGCTGTATGTCTATATTTTGTTTACAAGTATTTTACTGAGAATTTTTTAAAACCCATGTTTATCAGAGATATGACCTGTAGTACTTTTGCTGTTGTTGTTGTATTTACCTGGTTCTAGAAGTAGAGTGACACTGGTTTCCTAGAAGGAATTTGGGAATACCCCTTCTGCTTCTATATTCCTTGAATTTTTTATTGTCTCCAGGTCTTTGAAGGTCTGGTAGAATTCTGCTGTGAATCCATCCTACCCTGGACTATTCTTTTTTAAGTCAGAGCCTTTTATTACCATTTGAGTCTTCTCATGAGTCTATCTAGGTTATTGATTTTCTCTTGATTTAATTTTGCTGGTTTGGTTGACTCTAGAAATTCATTCATTTCTTTTAGGTTATTCAGCTTATTGTAGTACGGGTTTCCAAAATGTTCCTTATAATATTCTGAATTTCTTTGGTGTCTGTTGTGGTGATTCCTAGTGCATTTCTAATTCTATTAAGTTGGGTCTTTTCTTTTTCTTTTGATTAGTTAGGCTAAGGGTCTGTCAAAGAAATGAGCTTCTCAAAGAAATAAGATCTTAAGTTCACTGATTCTTTGTATGGTCTTTGTTTCTATTTCATTAATTTCTGCTCTGATTTTTATTTTTTTTTTTGCTGTCAGCTGTGTTCAGGTTTGATTTGTAATTGCTCTTCCAAATTGCCATTAAGTCACTTATTTGTTTATCTATCTGTCTGTCTGTCTATCTATCTATTTATTTATTTTTTATCACTAAATGGGGGATCAGCCTCCAATCAGCACCAGGGTATGTAAAAAATCCATGAATGCAGCAAGGGCTAGACTTTTCTCTCTGAGGGGTTTATAAGGAAACACACGCATTATGATAGTAACTTTCTTTTTTAATTTCATCTTCAATAATCCTCCCTGAGACTCTCTGTCTCCACACAGCTACGTATCTTTTTTTTTTACATGTATACATCTCTTTCCTACAAGGCCTACAGTAACACCACCAACCACAAAACCAAAAAATAAGAGGAATTAGCAACCACTGCTCATTAATATTCCTTAATATAGATGGATTCAATCTGCCTATAAAAATCAGAGGCTAATAAAATGGATACAGAAACAGGATCTGTCCTTCTGCTGTGTACAAAAGCACACCTCAACTTCAACTTCAAAGACTGACATTACCTCAGAGTAAAGGGTTGGGAAAAGATTTTCCAATCAAATGGACTTAAGAAGCAAGATATCCTAATATCTAACAAAATAGGCTTCAAATGAAAATTAGTTAAAATAGTTGGAGGACATTTCATACTCAACATAGAAAAATTCATCAAGGAGATAAAGGGGATTTGAATTGGAAATGAAGAAGTCAAATTTTTGCTATTGCAGATATTATGACAGTATACAGAAGTGACCCCCAAAATTCTACAAGAGAACTCCTACAGCTGATAAACACCTTCAGTAATGTGATGGGATATAAAATTAACTCACAAAATCAATAGCCCTCCTATATACAAATGATAATGGAGCCAAGAAAGAAATCAGAGAAATATCATCTTTTTCAATAGTCACAAATAAAATAAAATATCTTGCAGTAATTATAATCAAACAAGTGAAAGATCCATGTGAAAAGAACTTTATGTTTTTGAAGAAAGAAATTGAAAAAGATATCAGTAAATGGAAAGAACTCCCATGCTCTTGTAAAGGTAGAATCAACATAGGAAAAATGATAACCTTATCAAAAGCAATCTATAGATTCAATGCCATCCCCATCAAAAACCCAACACAGTTATTCACCAACCTTGTTTATGGGGATGAAGTTAAACCAGCCCTGAATTATGAATGTACGAGAGCCAGCCCCACTATCTGTTATATGTTATATATGTTATAACTATCTGTTATGCTGTGACATGGACCCTGACAAGGTCGTTGGCAGCAGCCCAGGCTCAGATGACAGCATGGCCCTGGCTTGTAGTGCAGGGTGCTCAGAGTTGGATGGCCCTGCAGCTGCATGACCCTTGGACACTAACACGGCCCTAGGTGAAAGCCTAGACCCCTGATGCCTATGTAGCCCTTGATGCAACATGAGCCATGGATATCAACACAGACCTTGACTGGGGTTGGACCACGGACTCAGACATGGCCCTTAGTCACAGTTCAGGTTTTCACGTCACCATAGCTCTGGGTGGCAGCATAGGTCACCCAGATCTGTATGGTCCTGGCAGCAGCTTGAACTTCAAATACCAACATGGCCCCAGGTGTCAGCCCAGAATACAAGCCTCTGCAGGCCCTCCTTGGCAACGGGAGCCACGGACATCACCACAGAGCCTGGCTGTAGCAGTACCATGAACCTAGTCATGGCCCTTGGCACCAGTTGGGGCCCTGACATCATCATGGACCGAGGTGGCAGCCCAGGATTCCTAGATTGGCATGACTTCTATGGGAGCACATACTTTTTTTTTTTTTAAACTCCTCAAAATGTCTTTAGTTCTCAGAACAGAGCCCTACAGAATGGAAAACTCTAGACAGGACAGCGACCTCAGTGACAAAGGTGTGGGGTGCCGTCAGTGCCCCAAGATTGCACAGGGAGGACTGTAGTGCTGGCTGCCCTGGTGGCAGTGCTGGCCTTGTCCAGGGCCACATTCCCCGAGGCCAGGTGGGAACCCTTTGGTCAAAAGGCAAAGAGGTTGTGGTCCGTACTCTTGGTCCCATGAAGCAGCAGGCAAGGGTACCCGACAGGACGAGGGTGCTGGTGAGCTAGGAAGGGCAGATCAGCTGGCTCCTGCTGCGTGGGTTCCTTTCCTGTTTTCAGACAAGCCACTCATACCAGAAGCGGGTGCTGGGCCAGTTCTTGCTGAAGTCATAAACTCACTTGAAGTTGCAGCAATCCCCCTGCCTCAGTCAGTCTCCAGGGTGCTAGAATTTAACCTGGCCCACCTCCTGGTGATGGGGTTACAGCGTGTCCTCCCATTAGACCTCAGGGTTTGTGGGTTCACGCAGCTGCTATGCTGCATGTACGGGAGGTCAGAGGACAACCTGCAGGAGTCAGTGGCTCCTTTCGCAAGTAGGTGTACTGGGGTGTCTCACCCAACAGTCCTGCTTTTCAGAATGGGACAGAGGTATGAGCTGGGACCCTGGCAGAGAAGTGTGCTCGCCAGGGAAGGCTGGGCTCAGCCAGGGATGGTACTGAACCCTGACTGCGGTGAGGCTCACCCGCAGTGGGCTACTGTACCAGGGGGTAGGTGATGTAGCGGCCAGATGATCTTCACAACCTGCCCTCACTTGATCCCAAAATAGCGCGTCACTGGGTCCCCAGCCTGGATCCTGGGCAGCTGGCTTTCAGGAAGCTTGTATCGAGCCAGCAGCTCTGTCACCTCCTCCTTCGTCATGACCACATGCTCAGGGATCAGCTCGTGTTCTGTGATGTTGATGAGCTGCTCTTGCTGTATGAACTGCTCCAGCATGTACTTTGGTGCCATGTTCACCAGGGACTGCTTGGCAGAGGGTGTCATGCCCTGCTGCACCACGATCAGCGCCCGCAAGATGTTCTCCTCCTGCATGCGCTGGCAGTACACCTTGATGGTCTTGATGCCCATCTTGGGCTCCTCTGGGAAGAACACAAACATCTGGTCTGTGGGGTCATCATTGTGGGCCAACAGCACGGTGAGGTTTGAGCGCCTTGGTCTTTCTTTGCTGGGTTTGTCCCCAGACTGTGCCTTGAACTCCTCAAGTGTCTGGTCCAGCTCATCCTGAGTCACCAAGTAGCCACGGTCATGACACAGCTGCATGATAGTCTTGCCAATCTTCCACAGCCGGTAAGTCTCCTCGTCGTCCATATTGCAGCCCTTCCGGGAACACATACTTTGGACACTGACGTGGTCACAGATGATAGCCCCACCTCTGGGCATTCGCAGGGCCTTCAGTGGTAATAGGAGTCACAGACATCAACACAGATCACCATGGCTGTGTTAGGGTCCTGGACCCAGATATGGCCCTTGGCATCAGCCCAGGCCCAGATATCACTGTAGTCCTGGGTGGCAAGCAGATCACCCTTGTCACCCAGTTGCTCACTGCTGTCAACTCTTCAGATCAGCCTCTCTCTACCATATACACTCACTGTAATGGTACCTGTGGCATGGGCAGGCTCATGGTTGATCTCTTCCTGCCCAGGAAGAGTGTCCTGGGGCTGAGCTGTGGCTATGCTCCTTGATCCTGTGCTTTATGGTGATAGGCATTCTTGTGGTTGATTTCTTCCTGCCCAGGGCCAGTGTCCTGGGGCTGAGCTGTGGCTATCCTCCTTGCTCCCAGGCCTCATGGTGCTGGATGACTCATGGTTGATTCCGTCCACCCCTTGGTATTTCATCTTCTTCTGGAGCCATTCTCTTTGCAAGGCTTTCCTTCGAGTTTTCTAGTTGGGTTACTGGGTTTTTAAACTTCAGTTTCATTTCAGCTGGAATAAACTGCAACTTTCCTTTCTCTTAATCATCTGTACTTTTCTGGTCCTGGACTGTCTTCATCATTTCCTTCAGCCTTGTGTTTGTATTTTCTTGGGCACTGCTCAGGCATTTATTGTCCTTAAGCTTCCTTTCCTTAATTTTTTTGAGCTTTTTATTTGTGTCTTTTTAAGACTTTTTGAATTCTTCGATGAATTTTATGATTTTTCTTTTACATTCTGTGTACTATCTAGGTAATTCTCACTGTCAAACATTTCCACAGGATTTTTAGGCTTTAGAGGAGAGATAATGGCTCAATCCTTCATAATTTCTTTTGCATTTTTTCGATGAGTTTTGGGTAGTGGGCTTCTTTCATTAGAGTTCTTTGTCTGATGAGGACAAAGCACACTAGAGAAGAAGGAAGGATGCGCAGGGCAGTTGGACTTAGAGGTTGGAAATGACGTAGTAGGATGAAGTCAACTGGATAGAGGAGACTGGGCTGGGGCAAGATATATGTCCTGGTCCAAGCCTGGAGTGTGGGAGTAGATCCAGCAGTATGCGGAAGGTTAGATTTGGCATAGGAGAGGCTTGTGGGTTGGGGCCTGTAGGGAAGATCCTGGCAGAATCTTGGAGGTTGACTATAGACAGGATTTGGCTGTACTAGGCCTGGTCAGTGGATGTGGAACCCAGGCTAGATGTGGTGAGGGTGTGTGGTGGGAAGGGCCAAGCAGACTCATTGGGTTAGACCCTGGAGAAGGATGTGCAGATTCTGCCCCTGGAGAGAGGTTGAATGCAGTGTGGGAGAACTAGGGTGTGTGTATGTATAAATGTATGTATGTATGTATGTATGCATGCATGCATGTATGTATGTATTGTGTGCATGCACATGCACTAAGGAGGACCTAGTTTATGTGCTGCAAGGCTCAAGGCAATGATAAATGTAATTATAATTCAAAATCATCTTGAGTCTGGGCAGTAGAGGGCAGTGTGCAGCTGCAATAGAGCGGGAGAGAACTCTGAGAGGTACCTGGTTAGAGCTGACTTGCTCATCAGCTCTGTCTAGAGAGGGAGAGACTGCAGGCATTGAGACCCCTCTTTGGGAGACAAAGAAAGGCAACTAAGCTTTCTGTGATCTAACAGATAATACACATTGTTTTGAAAGCCAGTCCATCTCCAAGAGTTGCCAGCCCCCAAGTGATACTAAGATCTAGAAGGTGGTGTAGAAGAGCACAGAGGTTCTGAGAGCCCTTAGCATCCTTAGGCTATATCTTCTCAGATGTCTCTTTCTTTCCTCAAACCTAACATGGCCACCATATTGCCTCCCTCACTTATTTTTGTGTGTGTGTGTGTGACAGAGTCAGTCTCTCTACATAGCCCTGGCTGTTGTGAAACTCATTATGTAGACCAGACTAGCCTCAAACTCATAGAGATCTACTTGTCTCTGCTTTCCAAGACAGAACACCCAACATGAGCTAAATATTCTGCTTCCTGTTGGCCTTTGTTATCAAGCAGCTCTTGCATTGTACATCCTTACCCTTATTCTGGTCTTTAGGACTCAGGGATTATAGTATGCTAAATTTTATTCCATCATTGGTTCTTCCAAGGCATTTTTTCTAGAAAGCTCTTTTATGGGAAACGGAGATCTCTAATATTTCTCTCTTTCAAGTATAACAGTTCCTCTCACCCTTCATCTCCACGAGCATTTTTTTTATTTCTTTCCTTTTTTGAAGCCTTATTTTATTTTTATTATTGTACATGAGCTTGAGTATATATATATATATATATATATATATATATATATATATATATATATGTTGGCACCAGGGCATCTCTGTGGATGACAGGTGACAGCTTTGTGGAGTATGTTCTCTGCTTCCACGTTTCCATGAGGTATTGGAAATGATATTTCCTTAGTTCTGAGGAAGAAGAGTGGAAGCCAGCGTGGAGAGTGCTAGCAAGGAATTCTTAGGAAAGAAATTGCTCATGAAGACGCAAAGAAGAAAGAATAGACGCAGGAGACAGAAGGAAGTGTGTGTGTGTGCGCGCGTGCACACACATGACAACAACTAAAGAAAAGAGACCATGAATTTGAAAGAGATCAAGGTGGGATTTGTGGGAGGAAGGAAAGCGAAGAGGAAAGTGATGCAGTTATAATCTCAAAACTAAATTATTAAAAATAAATAGATGAGTCCCTTACAGTCTATTGCTGGCCACCTTCTCTCACCAGGGCCTAAGAAGGCAGGCAGGATTTTTAAAAATACTTATTTATTTAATTCTTATTTTGTGTGTGTGGGTGTTTCACTTGTATGTACATCGTCTGTGTACCATGTGCATATGGTGCCAACAGAAGCTAGGAGAGGGCATCAGATTCTCTAGCACTGCAGGCACAGACAGCTATGACCTGCCATGTGCATGCTGGGAATCAAACACAGGTTGTATGGAAAAATAGCCAGTGCTCTCAACCACTGAACTATTTCTACAGCCCAGAAGGCAGACATTTCCTTAAAAGTCCTAGATCAGCCTAATTCTTTGTAGTCTACACGATTTTATCTGTAGAACCTTCATCCCATCTTTTTTGAGACAGTCTGTCTACTGGCTGCTACCACTGCCCCTTACTTACAAGAGCTCTCTGTACTGTAAAGTACATACATGGAGTAATTGAATGGGCTGTTTCAGTTTCTCATAGGTTCGCTTAGTCTTATCATCTATGAATTGGGTACTAAGCTGTACTCCCTAATCATTTCCAAACTGGTGCGGGAGAATTGTCTGTATTCTGTCAATCATGTTTTAAATAAATGCTGATTGGCCAGACAGGAAGTATAGGAGGGACAACCAGACAGGAAGTAAAGGTGGGGCAATGAGAACAGGAGAATGCTAGGAAGGAGGAAGCCTATTCCTCCGCAGTCCTGCCCAGAACACAGAAGAAGCAAGATGTGACCTACTCCACCAAAAAAGGTACCGAGCCACGTGGCTAACATAGATAAGAATAATGGGTTAATATAAGCTACAAGAGCTAATAAGAAGCCTGAGCTAATGGGACAATTATTTTATAATCTTATAGAGACCTCTGTGTGATTTTCTTTGGGTCTAAACAGCTGCAGGAACTGGGCAGGACAGAAACCCCAACAAGCAGGCCCTCATGCTACACCAAACAGCTCCAGCAACTGGAAACCAAGCGTTCACATATCTGAGTCCATGGAGGCCTTTCATGCTCAAACCACCACAGTCAGTATGTGGTTGTTTCAATTCACGCCACTCTACAATAGATTTTTTGAGTGAGTTTAATATAGTGATTTTTTAAAAAAAAAATCTTAAAGACTGCATGCTTTCTTTTTAATATACAGGTAATAATGACTGCACTTTGGTAAAATAAAACTATTCTTTTACAAATACCTCAAATGCATTTTCTTATGTTCACACAACAGGAAGATATACTAGCATTCATTCCATGCTTATTACAAATGATGACAGATAGTTCCCAAAGACTCTAATTACCAACATTCATGAAGAGGCAACAAGAATACCATGTATCTACTGTGTGTATTGGCTTTGCCACTAAAATTACTACCATGAAAGAACAGATAGCTTCCTTGGTGAACTCTATCAATCATGTTTTGGTAGAAACAATTTTTTTTTCTGGACTCGAGAATTTGCTTAGAGGATAAAAGTTCATATCCAAGCATCATGTCAAACAGTTGATAAATGCACTAACTCCAGCTCAAAGGGGTCCAGCACTCTCTACTAGCCTTCCAGAATACTTGCTTGCACACACACACCCCAAACAAACAAACAAACAAACAAAAACCAAAACCCAAAACACACATAATTTAAAAGGAATTATTTCTTCCTAACTCATTTTATGGGGCCCACATTTTGAGAATAAAGACATCATAAAGTAAGACTCTGACCTGTGTCATGACCTCTGATCTCTAGAATTTTACATGACCTTTGCCTCACTACAGAATGCCATCTGGAATTCCACTCAGCCAAGTCTTATTGTTCCTGACATCACAACCCATCACATCTCCACTTCTCTGTGGGTGACTTTCAAACTCGTCTCTCCGGACAAGAAGCCTGTTCTGTGCTCTTCTGTTGTAGAATCTAATTCCTCCTTTTTGAATGTTTCACAACATTGTCCATCTACATGGACTCAAATCTACTCAAGGAAGGAAAAGCCACAGACTTGTATGAAAGAGTAATTTGTATTGAAATGGGGCAAGGGAAGTCATTAGACCCCTAGCAAAAGCAGCTCATTTTATCCAAAGAGGTTAAAGAGGTTAAAGAGGTTGAGGCTTAACTTTGAACTGTACTGATAAAGTGATTCCAAAATAACTTAATCAAAAGACATGTGTAATCTGTTACAAGAAGCGGCCCCTTGTTTGTCCCAGCTGCCTGGCTAGCTT